GACAAAAGAGAACAAGTTGCTGAAGACTGAATGTGAAAATATAAACTCTAATGAAAATTTACAGAGATGACAGCTTCATGTATGTACAAGAAATCATTTGTCCTCTGAACTTACGCCAGCTGACCTGGGCCATGAGGACTCTGCCTAGGGACTCCCTATTGTGTGGAAGAAGTAATGGACATATATTTAACAAATTATAAAAGCAGTTATCAGTCACAGTCTTCAAAGAAACCATGGCAGCTCTGATGAGAATCAAGAAAGAATTCACTGATTAGCCAGGTATAGAGCTTGTTATGTACTTTGAAAGGTATTTCTCAAACTGAGATCACGGTTAACTCTGGGACTGGGTGGAGACAGTCCCTTCCTTTAGTAGTTGTGAATTTATTTTACCTCCCGTAGGTGCTATTTTCTTTTTTTTTTTTAATTAAAAAATGTATTTGCTTAGAAGTACACAGAATGTCAACAAAACATCTGCAAATTCTTTTTTTTCCCAATTAACAGAACAATTATTTCCTATAAACTGCATCAGAGACCACTGAAGATGAAAAAATGCCATCCCCACATACATTTGTGCTGTGCACAAATAAGAACGTGTTTTAAATTTTCATGCCAATTTATAACCCCCATACTGCACCATGCAAGCTAAGTGGCTACTGAAAATACCACCGGGACAAGGCTGTCTAAAGACATTCAGCTGGGTGTTAACTATACCAAAAAGGACACCACACAGTTTAAAAACAAATCTTAACACAGAGCCTTATGTATCAATACTTTTCTTTAAAGGAGTGAGTGATGTACAGGGTGGGTAAATGCTTCATAGACAAGGAAAAACTGATCTAGAACCAACTTATTCATTATCAGTTTCTTCATCCTGACCCTCCTCCTTCCCTCCTCTTCCACGCTTTCTTCAGCCTTGATGACCCCCTTCTGTGGCCGCATCAGGTTTTCCTTTTGCTCAATCTGCAGCAATATCCTCTTTGTATTTTTCCTTCGTCTTATAAGGCTGCTTGCCACCTGAGCAGTGTGATTCCACATGTCTCCCTTTTTCTTTGCAACATCATCAATGGAGAGAATGGAAAGTCCTCCTTTAATTTTGGGGTGATACTCAGAACATAACAAGAAAAAGGCTGAAGGAGGTCTCTTGGGTGCATTGGGATCCTTGAACTTCTTTTTTGTTTCCCCTTTAGGGGTGACTTAAGTTTTCATTTCTCTTTTATAATGGGCCTTGTTTGCCTTTGTCATGTCTTCAGACTTCCCTTTCTCTTTAGCAGACTGATCTTCCACATCTCTGAGCACCTCTTAGAAAGTTCTGAGAAGCTGACTGAAGCATCTTGGTGATTCTTCTTGTGTTCCTCCCAGCCAGTTTGCACCAAAGACACATATGATGCCATTTTGCCTCTCAGTCAGGCTCTCCTTTGCCATTTCCTCAGCAAGGCCCAGAGCCGCCCGGCTGCCCACCTCTCACTTGCCTTGAACCTTCTCCATGGAGCTCAACCTCCTGTGGTGGCTGCAGCGGGTAGCCAGCTGTAGCCCTGCAAGCTCTCTGCTCTGTAGCATTCAGGTGCTAGCTGTTTTCAGTGATAGATCCAAGCAAACAAAAATACACAGCAAAAGTAAAATATTTATCATCATAAGTGCTGGTCTGATTCCTTTATATAGAATAGCACATCTCGTAGGTACAGATGTAAAGTCACAGTGCCTGAAGAATTAACGGTGGCAGGACATATAAAAGCTAACTACCCCAAAGAGGAGAGCTTTCTTATTTACAAAAAAGAAGAGTCATGTCAGTTTCTGGTTTTGATATGCAGGCCTTACTTTGCAGAAGTACTTTTTCTTGAAATGTCTGCATTTTGGACAAAGCAGAAAGGTGACCCGGCAGAAAGTGAGGCTGTGGGGCAAAGCTCAGGGAGCCAACGCACTCTGTGTACGGGAAAAAGTTTGCCTTTCCTTAGAGGAGCCCTTCAGGCCTGAAGCTTCAGATAAGTCCTGGATGGGTGATGAAAGCCCAGGGGATCAGCTTCTACTCAGTCCTAAAACTGGACCCTGGGTCAGCCTCTGCAGCAAGCAGCTGAAGTGGAAGACTTGGAGGCTAATACGAAACATAATTTCATTAGACCTTACTCTGAATTTTATATTTGGCTCTTCATATTTACACTTAGATGAGTATTACATTACACACCTGAATAAAAACATGACTTCTCTTTTACTACAACAATCCAATTCTGAGAAGACTAGCTGTCAGAACCACCTGGCCATAATTCTAGTGCTGTCAATCACCTGTGTAGAAAAGCTTGGTTTCAGGAATGACTAATAAGTATAGATGCCTACACAGCCTTAGGAGTGCTGGCTAGAAGCTCTAGGCCACAGAGCATCTTGGAATTCTATGAGGACTACCCAACATGCTCTCACCTATTTCCACTCTTGCTCTTCCAGAAGGCGGAGCAGACAAAGTGCTTACTGTCGTGAGACCAAGCAGGTCACTGCCACTAGATCATGTAACTAAAGATCTGCCTGCAGCCAGCCTTTTGGAAAGCCAAACATTTTCTAACCTGATGATTTTTTCATAAACTTTTTCCAAGGTTGACTTTGTACATGTAACTGTTTTATACCTCTTGCACATGATAAATGTTGCCATTAACTGTCTTCTGCTGTGAGAATGTTCATAGGATACAAAACAAAGATTAAGGCCTGGGAAAAGTTGCTATTCTCAAATTTATCCTTGAGAAGGAGGCCTGGCCATATTTCTCATATTGCTTATCACCTTGGGAGGTCCTCAGGGTTTCTGAAAAGGTCTGCCTCTCTGGACGCGTGTCCTGGCTCTTGCGTCCAGGCTGCCCGACTACGCCCATGCCCTGGGAGGGCCGCCACCCGAGTGAGACGATCCCTCCCAGGGGAGCAGCTGTCGTTACAGTAGAGCTCATTAATCTCCTGTCCTCAGACAGGCGGCAAGTGTGCTCAGCCACTGGGGCCGGCAGTTCTGTTCAAGACAGACCTGGTTCCGCCTGCCTGGCTCCCGGAACCTTTGCGGCTCACATGTGTATCTTCACTGCACAATGTGTGGAGGGGAAACTCATGGCCCATTGGTGATTTCAAGGAGGTTAGCTAAATAATTAGCATCGGAAGGAGGAAGAAGCTAAGAGAGAGGACATTAAAATACATTGAATGTGAGGTTTAAGCTGAATGACTGTATTACTTTCCACCCCAGGGGTAAAATTTTCCATGACTGCTGTTTAGAAAAGCAGATGTGTAATATTTTCTCCCTCTTTCCAAAGCATTTGAATGATGTGTGGGAAACACCTACCACGTGACCTTAGATGCATCTGGCTTATGGTGATGTGCCAACCGAACCATATGAGTTAATCAGTGATACTTTATAGGATTGACTGATAACCAACATCTCTCTTAAAAATAATAAGACAGGCAGGTTTAAAAGGATTATTTACAAAGTAGCATTTTATTCTCTAACTTGATCATTGCTGGAAAACTCCCCCTTAATCCACAATCAAGAACACTGGCATAATGAGGGACTTCCTAAAATTTAAAATTAGCAGTTCCTTTGAAAGTATTCAGGGAAAATGAAGGGGGTATGGGTGTACATAGAAATCAGCTCTTTGGGTGTAAATATGTGATTTGTATATGGAGAGAAAGTACTTGGGGGAACCAAACATTTCCCTGAGCCCTGTGCTCACACAACACCATTTTTCCTCATCTGGATCTGAGCCAAAGTTCTGACGCCAGCCCTCTCCCACTAAACCCTCCAAGTCTCTGGGCTGAGGGAGGAGCTGCAGCTGTGGAGTCCAACGCTGAGGGAGCACCCAAAAATGCTTGTGGTTGAGCGGCTGCAGCCCCACCCAGGTGACTGCTGTGCTCAGCACCGCCAGCCCTGGATCCTCAACCCAGAGCCAGGGGTCCTGGACTTGGGGCCACAGACCCTCAGACACTCAGGGGAGCAACCCAGGGCCAGAAGGACTCAGACCAGAGGTACCTCCCAGGGTCTTGAGACTGCAAGCCCACATGACCACCATTTTGTATAAAAGTACAAAAAATCTGGGTGGCACCAACAGTATAGGCTTAATAATTAATAAATATGGCACTTAGCAACACTAATAATTACTTAATAGTAGATGCTGAAATCAACCTCTTTTTTTTTTCAAACATGGCTTAACTTTGTTAAAGTGTCATCAAATATTTTTATTGGGGGTAATGTTTCAAGTGACCCAAAATGAATCTGAAACACTTTATACTACATGCTTGAGGATTAAAGAAAAAAACAAACAAACACTTGTTCTTTCCTCCTACACATTATATTGTCAAATTAGTGACCTTGCTGATGCTGATTCAGCTAAACATAAACAAAAATGTCCTGTAACATCTCTTTTCTTCCAGGTTAAGAAGACTGTTAAGGTATTCTTTCTTCCTTGGAAGAATGGTCAACAGATCACTCTATAGCATTTATTTTTCTACTTCCAAATATACTTACTGGCCTTGAGGAGACACAATTGATCTGATCTTAATATGGTTCTTCTTTTTTTTTTTAAAGATTTATTTTTATTTACTGATGCTTAGAAGAACTGGATTACAGGCCAGCGGTGCTGGGGGTGAGAGGATTCACCAGAGACAGAGTGGGGACCAGAACAGGCAGATCTACTGAAATACACTGCCTAGAGGAGCATCGGGCGAGACAGGAGAGGTCTGCTGCTCCATGTGGGTAGCTCCCTGCCCTGGGATTGAACATATACTGCAGTGGCTGGTGACAGCTTGAGAACGCTCAGACTTTAACCCCTGTGCCACCAGAGAGGCCCATATGGTCCTTACTTATATGTATATGTCAAACGAACTAAAGGCTGATGTTAAAATGAAAGCCTTAATGATGGAATTTCTAGCAGAAATACAGCAGGTGTTTGGGAAGACCAGTGCATGAAATACGATGACAGAGGCACAGATGAGGAGTCTCCTTTTCCAGATATGGGGAAATGAAGGGCTGGAAGCTTGGCACTCACCTGCCCATGGAGCTGTCCTCGATCTGCAGGCTCCAGCTGAGAGCAGTGCTCCCCCCCTATAAAGATTCGGCTTGGACTGTCCCCGTCTGGGTCTGGACCATCCCCCTTGGAGTCCCCTGGGACTCCGTGCTCTCCAAGTCTAGGGACAGTCTCTGGATGCTCCACCTGAAAATAGCAGGCATTGAAGATCATAGTTCCATCCAAATGCTTTTGTTATATAGCTGGTTTTTATTGTTTGAAGATAATTATCTACTTTAAGGGTTATCAGATCCTCACTTCTTAGTCATTTCCGATAATGCCTACATTTTGGCCACATCCCTATTGGCCAATTCCCTCCATTTAAACAGTGCAGAATGAGTGCCCATTTTGTTAGAAAAGATGAGCAAGTTTACGACATATAATTTATTTTAATAATGAAAAATCCTACTACTTATCTGTAAATTACTATTGCTTATAGTTACAGTTTATAAATTACAAGAGGAGAAATGACAAAGTATTGATCATCAGAAAACTTTACAGTTATTGTGAAGTTTTACTTATATTTGATATTTGGAATCTGGCTGAATTAATTTTTGAAGACTGTTTTTCACCCTGAGGGAAGAGGTATCTTCACTCTAGCCTCCCATTCACAGGGCGACATAAAATTACATGCACTGTTGAATAAAGTGTAGAGCAGATGAAAGTGCTTTGGAGGCTAAAAGGAAACCAACTATTCACAACACCCAGAGCAGCTGACAAAGTAGTGAGAGCTGCAGGTGTCCAGAACACACCACTATTTGGGTCCCCGCCCTGCACTCACAGCAAGGCCAGGAAAAGAAGGAACCCGCAGAACTAGGGCACTTTGATCTATGGATAAAAAAATCAATCATAGAGCAAATAACTGTTTTGTTTCTATTACAAATCTGGAGACCAAGGCATTAGAAGGAGAAGATGTACAAATTACACAGGTGGAAAAAGTGACCCCTCTGAAGCTTAGAAAAGGCCCTTATAAAACTGTACAGCAGGATGGGCTGTAGCATTTAGGAACAAAGATTGATGAAAAGAAGAAGGATTTAGAATCAGGTTCTACAAACCAGCAAGTTTGAATGAAACAGTGAAGAACCTCAGGGTAGCCAATAAAACAAATTAATAAATCAGTAACAAAGGAGAGGGCAGCAAAACTTTGCTAGAGAATAGAGTTACTGACCAAGATGCCCTTAAAATGAGATCAAAGACGGTATTGAATTCTTGGTTGAATATATAATCAGACAATCCATTTCATTTCCATTGCTTTACTGGGCTTGACAAAAGACTCTAAAATAACAGAACATGACTTTGTGTGCATGTGTGCTGAGTGACAGCAGTGTCTGAGACAAAAGCCATACAAATAAAATAGCTCACCTCAGTGAAATCCTCTCCCTCCTCCTCCATCTGCTTCCCTTGCCGCCAGTGTTTTAGCAGCCACCTGAGTTTGACGTAGAAAAGGAAAATGTTCTGCTTCAAGGATCGGAGCTCCTGCTGCATCAGATTCCTTTCATCATTCCAGGTTCGCTCATGGAGGCTGTTTTGCAAAGCCAGGCTGTGCATTTCCAGTTCTTTCCACCTTAGAGCATAGAGATGCTCCTCCTCCATCTTGAATGGAATCAAAGAGAAAGTGTCACAAGCAGCTAGCCCAATTTGCCACTCAAACCAAATCAAATCCTTGCCAACTGTCATTCAACCTATATCATCTTGCATATGGAACATGGAATGCAGAAGGCCCTAAAAGTTCAACTCAAGCTGTTTACTCTTCATAAAATCTTGTGACTATTCTGATTCAGAAGTAAGTGCTATTTCAAATTAAGAATTTTAATAACTTCTCACTGTCAGGTTTCTTATGGTGTTTTTGAATGTTTCTAAACTCATTCAGGAAAAGTGTTACTTGGATGCATGGCTTATAGTTAACTTAAATGTAGATTCCATTGGCCTTCTGGGCATGTACACAAAGGCACCACAATCATAATGGAGAAAAGAAGTGATATCCTTCCCTTGATTTTCTGAGACACAAACAGCCTCCTTCAGGTAGAGAATACCAGACTGACGGAGTCCCACAGAGGCAGAGAGTGGGAGCTGCTGGGCCAGAGGGAATTCCTGTGAACATGTAGTATTCTACTAATACAGCACTGAGCAAACAGGAAAGTAAACTGATAATCTATTTCCATGCTTAAGACTTCATATTCCTATTAGATATGGGTAACTCCCAGGGAAATAAAAGCATTGCTAAAATAGAAATGTTTGCCATTCTGCATAAAGTTCCTATTTTTTAAATATGGGTATAGTTTCTTGCTCTTCAAGCAAGAGACAATTATTATCTGTTAATAACTGAGCAAAAGGATGTGAATAAAATCTCATTTTACTGGCAAGGGCAAAACTATAGTAGCTAAAGTGATACAGGGATGAGAGCTTTCTGTTCCAAAAAAAAAGAAGTGTCACAAGGCCAGCCTCATCATTATCAGCTGTCTTCTCTAAAATTAACACTCCTCCAAGTGCCAAAAACCAAGGCAGTGGGGTTTGCTGTTTTTTTCTCCTAAGTTACGAGATGAAAGCTCAGAAGCCATAGGACTATGGCTGCCTGAGAGTGACACCAGCACAAGCAGTGTTCTGAGGGCTAGCAAGGAGCTCGGGGCAGTTTGGGGAAGGTCCTCAAGTCTGCACCACGACCTATGTGGCTACTGTGGTGATACCTATCTCTTTTTCACTTCAAGTAGAAATGACATAAAATAGTGGTGATTTAATCCACCATCTATCAGCCTCTCAGAGCCTACCACTGCATCTCTCCCTGTGGACATAGAATGGGCAAAGCTGGGAAGGGGTCAACCTAGCGTACTGGACACCCAGCACTTGAACTTTACCTGCAATGTTCCCTTAGCCCATCTGCTGGCTTTGGTGAAGTCTCAAGCTTCTCAGCTGCACAAGGAAGCTAGCATTGCATGCAGAGGATGCACGAGGTGTTTAGAGCACAGGTACTCCGGGGGCACTAGAGTACTCTAGATGGAGGCTCAGCGATGGGGGTGGGGGATGTTCTTTTGCCCTTTCATCTGCTGGAAATATTCCTTCCTGACTCGCTGATTTCTCCACTGCTCTTACTGGCTCCTTCTGTTCCATGACCCCAAGCACTTTCCCAGGCTGAGCGGATCATTGGCCCTCAAGGTAAGTTAGGGAACACCTTCCTCACTGCTAACGAGCCCGTATGACATCTCACCACCTGAGGTCTGGGAGCCTCTTCTCCAGCATGCTGCTTTATCCTAAATCCAAGAACCAGCTATACCTGGGGCCCTGCTCTTTCACTGTAAGCATCTCCAGGGGTAAACACACTTCTCGAACGGGACATTTTGATGCAGTGCAGAATAAATTAATAAAATAAAAGCTAAATTACTTAGGAATTTCCCTTTTAGGAAACATTAAATTATTTGTCTTTTGTAAAAATATAAATGAAACTTTTAAAAAGGGTACGTGTGTGTGTAGTGGTAAAACTTGGCAAAGAATATTTAAATCTTGGCACAGCTGCAAGGCACAGAAGGTGCTCCCTTAATCATTTTCTGACCTATTTAGATGAATATGACGATGGACACATGGGGCTAGGTGTAGCACACCTTTCTTGCCAAAATTTTAAAACACCATGATGCCTTATTCAAGATTCACCTTTTTAAAAATTACTACTTTTTTAAGAGCAAATATGGCAGGGGTGGGGAGAGAACAGTAAGGGCAATTCTGTGGCTGGACATCTGTTCACAGCTTGATTAGATCTGGGGCGGCAAGAACAGTTCTTAATTAGATCTGGGGGTGGACTGAACAGTCCTGGGGTGGGGGGACCCACAGGCAGTGACAGCCCATGTCTGCTAGTTTCTTCTACTAGAACCCTGGGAAAGGACTTAATGGATAAATAATAACTAGCCAGCAGAAGGTTATTCTAAAAGAGCTAGAAGGGTTAATAAGGTTGCAGCTAACAGCAGGACTTTTGTAGGCATTATTTTAGGATAAAATAATGTCTGTATCAGAAAATTTACCTAACATTGACAAAATTTACAAATCCGCAAGGCAACAAAGGTTATGGACATGCTCTCATGTCTAGTTGCATTGAATGCCCTTGTCTCATTTTACTTTGCTGATTACGGCTGTAGGAGAATTCAGATTAGACATTAGGAAGACATTCCTGAGATCACACGTAAATACTGAAAAGCATGTTGGAGAGCAGAAAGGCAGACAGTTAACTTTACGAGACATCAGGGAGCATGGACGACCTTCCCACATGCCTTCCAGCCCTGGAGCCCATAGGCCTGCTCTGCAGACAGGCCAGCATCCTGTTAGATGCCCCTTGTGCCGCTCTAGGTGGGCTCTGCCTTCCCGGAGGTGCTGCAATCTGTGTTACATATTTACCTTACGGATCTTGTTTGTAAATGTCTCTGTCTCCTCTTGAAGCAGTCTGGTTGCCTGTGCGAGCTGACCCTGTAGCTCCTCTATCGATACACTCTGTTCAGGTAAAACAGGGGGGCCCCTGAGCTGATTGGTGGGATAAAGGAAGGGGTTTAGTGGTGGCAAGAACTCTGCCTGAGGTGAAGACACAGGACAGACAGGTGCACAAGCCGGGGACACACACGGAGCGACATGGCATGGTGGCTGCAGCAGTGGAGTGACCCCCGTGCTCCAGTGTTGGGCTGGGTGCCCCTGCCTTTGCTCTTCCCGGGAGACAAGGCAGGTGTGGGTGCCTATCGTCTGCACTTTCTCCACCTCTGTTACTGCAAACCAGGTTGAGGAGTGGACCAGGGCATACCAGAGGTATCTCTGCTTCCACAGCAGCTTCTAGACAGTTTTTTTTTAAAATGCTGGGGGTGGTGATGACAGAGTCAAACATGGCCCTCACACAGTCAGCCTCTTAGATGTATGGTCAAGTTCATACATAATTAAGTTGCATAATTAATTGGTTCATTTGTTTTCTAACATTATTAGAGCTCTTCCTGCCCAGTTGAGAGTGCCTGTCTTTCTCCTGGCAGCTCTCCCCTGTAGGCACAGGAAGCTGTGGAAGGGTGGGCTGTTACCAGGTGGGGTCTCAGGCCTCTCTGTAGCACGTTACCTCAGAGGAACTGCTCAAAGATCTGCCTATTACATTTTAGGTTAAAAAGTTAAAGGCACATTTTAATAATCTTTTTATTGGAAAGGTCTATCTTTTATGACAAATTATAGAGGAGTCAGAGCTATTAATTTTGAAGTAGTGTCTAAGAGATGGAAATACTGTTATATTAAAATCTCAGGCATCATTAAAATTATGCATGCCATTTTACTCACCGGTTTATGTTACTTGAAGATGGGCGATTTATAAAGTTGAGAACTAGAGTAGATTGTTGAAACAAAAATAGGTGTCATTTCATTGGTTTATTATGATGACCTGTAACTAATCTATTTCTCACTGAGGATGCTGTTTATTCTCCCTCGTCTGTATTACTTGGGTTATCATGAGTGAAGTTCATACCCCAAGTGCTGGAAAGGAGAATATGAAACAGCAGATCACTTCCCTTAGCACAGGGGGAGATGGAGACAGTTTACAGAAAGGTTAGAGACAAAAATTCAGAGACACTGGGGACTCAACAATTTTGGGATGAAATTCAAGAACCTCAAGAATTCCTGAGAACATTAATGTTTCTTTGATTTGTTAGTTATCTGAAATTATTATGATAGTCATATCTACTAGGCAGGTTTTGTTTTTGTGGGATTTTTTTGTTTTTTTAAAGATTTATTTATCTTGGGAACTGGGAACTGGGGTGCAGGTCAGAGGTGTGGGGGGTGAGAGGATTCACAAGAGACAGAGTGGGGAGCAGAACAGGTGGATCCACTCAAATACACTGCTGAGGGGCGCAGCAGGCGAGACAGGAGAGGTCTGCTATGCCATGTGGGTAGCTCCCTGCCCGGGGATCGAACTCAGACTGTAGTGATAGGGCTGACACTTAACCCCTAGGCCACCAGGGGGGCCCCCTATTAGGGAGGGTTTTGGGTTCTGTTTTAAGAGAGGCATTTTGCTATACATTGAATTCATTCCAATAACTAATTCTCATTTCTAAAAGCTCTATTTTATTGTTTTTAATATGCATTTTTTTTTACAATCATAACTTACTCTTTTCTCCCATTTGCTTGCCTTTGTCATTTTGAACACATTTTGTACTCTTTATCAGATAAATCCTAGTATCTGAGGGCCACAGAGTTGAGTCCTTCTGGTCCATCAGTTGACTCTTATATGTTTTTGGCTTGTGAGTTTTCAGAAGCAACAGCACTTAAACTTTCCTTTCCTTGGGGATTCCCGGACCACCAGGAAACAGTGTGAATATTGGCCCTGGGGAGGCTGGCTCTCCTTTTGTTACTTGGAGGAAACTTCCTGCTTGTAGACAATCTCCCTGTTTCCTCCCTATCTCAGGGAGTAGGTGTTTCTCCATACTGACCATTCAGGAGGAACAGCCCTTTGGCGAGGGGGCCCTGGTTCATTCCTATTCTTGTCCATGTTGGGCACAAAACATGTCTCCTGTCCCTGTGGAGCCATTAAAACCCAAAGCTCTGGGTTACCAATTCTGGCAAGTATTCCTTATAACCTGCCCAAAGATACTGCTTTGGTTTTCAATTCTGAGCTCAGTTCCAACCCTCACAGATATATCCCCAACTTTCTTGGAAATTCAGTTATATATTTAAAATGACTTTTTTAAAATTATATACAGCACTTTATTCAACAAATATTTATTGAGCATATATAGTGGTAGGAACTATACTGAAGAAACAGCAGCAAAATATGCTGCCTCGACATTCCCTCCTGGACGCCCCTTTAGGCAGCTAAAGGGTTGACAGGAGTGTTTTCGGGTGCTCTACTACCAGCTGCACTTTTTGGTCACACATCACTCTCTCTGTTTGAAATGTAAAAATCTTCCATATTTTAACACATCTAGTACTAGTCAAGAGCTCCCTATTACTAGATGTTAAAATAGGCATCCTTATCAAGCTTATATTTTAAGAAAAGCAAAGATCTATTATTTTAGTTTATCACACTGAATAATTTAGTTTGGTTTTAACCTTAACAATGTATGTAAAATGCTTTTATTTTAAACAAATATAGGGACCTCATATTTTAGCATCAATTGACTAAAAACACGTTCCTCTTGTTGAACCACAATTTGAAAGGAAACAACCCCTGGAGTCCTACGAGGTTGTCATCTGGGCATTTGATTTACTATGTGGTTCCTGGGTCATCTATGGAGACTGGGTAACAACAGAAACTTTTGGATCTTCCTCATCTATCATCTGTTGTGCTTTTCCTATATTGTCCATTTTTGCCAAGGGAAAAGGAAAATTCCTCGGGACCACTGACTGCTCTTAGTTGGGACGCTGTCACTCCAGTGTTACAAAAAACAAATACAAACAAGCTATGGCAAAACGTTTCCACCCCAAATTTCTCTACTATCACACAACTGCAGACAGTCAACACATTTGGAGAGTTTTCACATGTAGATTTCCTCTAGAAGACAAATACTTCCCTTTATCACCAAATTCCATATGGTTGATTCTAAACACCATTCTTGGTCCATTTACCTAAGATTCTGTTTATACAGCAAATTCATTCTGATTTCTCTATGATGGCTCTTTAGTTAAAGTAATACCATCCTTGCTTGATTCCAAGGCTGTGGAGAAGCTTACATCTTGACATCACAGCACTTTCCTGGTGTTTGGGTTCTGAAACCCATCCTCCCACTATGCCCCCAGCCATAAACACACACACACACATGGTTGTGCCCCACACCAGTTTATGCTAATATTCTGGAATCTTCAGAGGATATAACTTATGAATTACTTTTCACATTTCCACACAAATTACTTTCTACACCCAGAAGCTGCACTATCTCAAGAAATATCACCAATGACAACAAAAGGAAAACTTTCAATTACAACCATTCTATACTTAGCAAAGCTGCTTGCATAGTCAGACTTTAGTGTACCTCCACACCAAAACTTCATTTTCTGGTGAGTTCCATTTTGTCCTGGCCAGTTTTGCTCTTCTTCAAAAGTGCTGTATGAGGTCAACACACGTGTACACATACTTGGCAAAAGCCCTCATCATTTTATCATGCCTGGTATTTCACAGCTGAGGCATGAGTGATGGCAAATGCCTTGGCGCTTCATTGATTAAAGGATAAAAGGAGAAGTGGAGAGAAGAGCTCTTTGAGATTTCTGACCCAGAAACTCAATCCTCTGGGCATAGGCTTAATTTCATTTATACGTGAAATTTGACCAGAGTCCATGCTTGACTACTTATTGCTCAGAACTATTTTTAAGGCACCCACACATTCCAATCCACATATTCTATACACTGTTCTCACTCAACAAATGGGACCCTCTGAAACTTACTCGTTGGGAGCCACAGGGAACAAAGTGAGGGAAGAATCTGGTGCATAGTGTGAGAATCTGTTACCATCCACTGAGATGAATAAGCAATAGGAATATTTGCCCTTCTGAAGTCTGGTGTGCGTGTGTTTTCTGAGTGCTTAATTTTGGTGTGGTTGCAATAGTGGGCTAGTGGGTGTTAGTGGGTTCTAATTCGGCTTTCTCTGGCTTTGATTAAGAGTGGCAGGTGTGGATACACTACTCCTCTCCTAAGTTTAGCAGGCAGGCCTCCTACTACACGAATTTATTATTTGCTGAAATGCACCAGTGAGAATAGAGTCTTTCTTTTTTCCTTTCTGTTATTTCTACTGCTACTTGTACTACTACTACTACCAGTAGTTTAACCTGGTCAATCTATGCAACTCTTCTAAAATAAGAACTTTTCTTCTTTGCCCTTTCCCTAAATATGAACATCTATAAGGTAAAAAACAAGCATAGAAGGCATTTCACAAGTAGAACTTGAGAAACTGATTCCATTTTAAAAATGTCAACTTAAATCCAGAAAGTTTCTTCTTTTAAGCCACTGATACTAGGTGTCCCATGAGTCCCTCACCTCAAAGAACCAAGGGCAAAGAGCTAAAGGAAATGTGCACATATATATAGCAGCAGTTGACCTGAGCACAAGCTGAGTGGTAATTTCAAGGGCAGTGTAAGAGGGAATCAAGAAACTGCTAGCAGTCCACCTGGCTTCTTCCTGGCCCTATTCTGGGTAAGAGTGCCATGTGTGTCTTTCCCCCGTGAGCCTGGCACTCTTCACACCAGTGTCACGCAATGTGTCTTCCACAATGGAGCAGCTTCTCTCATAAAGCTGCCCTGCTAACTTAAGATTTTGCCTTATAGAGAAAGTTGGGAATGAATCTGGGATGTTTTCATCAAAAGACTTCTCAAGAGGGCCTCCCCGGTGGCGCAGGGGTTGAGCGCTGGGTTGCGAAGCTGCCCGCAGCCTCTGCAACGCCAGTTCGATCCCCGGCTGCTCCCCGGCCACTGGAGGAGGGTCCCACATGGCGTGCAGACCTCTCCTGCCGCCCGCTGCTCCCCTCAGCAGTGTACTTCGGTCCTTCTGCCTGCTCTGCTCCCCGCTCTGGCTCTGGTGAATTCTCTCACCCTCCCGCGCTTCTGACTGTACCCAGTGCTTGCATAAATAAATAAATAAATCTTAAAAAAAAAATACTTCTCAAGAGCTCTGCTCCCTAGACTTGTCCATTGCACAATTCTTTAACCCACTGTAATATTCAAAGACCAAACTGAGCAATCATGGTGACAGCAGCTCCCCTAAAATCCACATTGGGGTCCTTGGGTAAAATGAAAAACTAGGGAGCTGTCAAAGTGACCCCTGACTATATTTTATCTTTTCAAAAATGTTTAAAAATTATAATGTGCTTCAAACATAGTCGAGTTTTCACTTCTGTGTGAAATAACTTAGTGAATAAAAAAGTCAGAGCAAAGGAAGTTTAACTCCTGATTCTCTTTCCTCTTCTAGGAAATGCAGCTCTCCAGATCTTGCCTCTCATTATGTGTTCTTTACTTTTTCAATAAAATGTTTAAAATGAAAAGAAACCAGATAAAGAGATGAATGACAGACTGTAACGCCTGACAGCTGGTGGTATAATTAGTCACCTGAGTGGCCAGTCCCTGTTGGAAGTGTCCCCAAGCATGGTGGTCTGTCTGTGCCCAGTGTGTGGGGTGGGGGTGGGGTAGAGGTCAGTGCTGACCAGTTCTGGCTGCAACTAAGCAGAGCTCCTCACAGGAGGGTGTGCAGAGTATTGAACCTGGCCTGAAGAGATTGTGCTAGACCCTTCTATCACCAGTCAACTGTGGGACTTATTTGTAAGCATTTTCACTCTCAGGGTCACATGTTTCTGGTTTACAGAATGAGGTAATTAATATGAAGATCTGAAGCTCCTTTCTGAATTCTACTGCTTGGTGATTGTAAGTTGCCATGCGGCACCAACTCTGCTAATCTACCTCTTACCACAGTCAATTTCCCTTCAACTTTCAGCTTGATTCAACGAGGTATTCTCTCTCCAAAATCACTGCAGGTTTCTGACACTATGCATTGTATACATGTATGTGGCAAGTGGTGGGAAGACTGACCACGGGCCCATGCTGAATGACAGGGAGCTGAGACAAAGGCCGAGCAGTGCTTGATTTACACAGGAATTTAACTAAACAGTTCTGTGTGATATCCCTTGAATGATGGTACCTATTATGGGAGGGAGCTGGAGTATTTCCAAAGAACATGTCACAGAGAGGGGGCACTGCCATGTGCAGCCAGAGCTGAGCTTCACAGTGTGCTCTTGTAATTATTAATCAGCTTCACATTTGCACAACATTTAATACTTTTTAGGGTATATTCTCAACCAACAGACCATAGACTCTGAGAGACATTCATATACAACCATATGAGACAGGGCAGTACCTCTATTCTCTTTTACAAGTAAGAAAATAGAGGCCCAGGAACTTGCCTGAGAAACACCGCTAGTAATGAATGGACACTGGTGGGCTAGTGCCCAGGGGCCCTGATGCCTAAGTCTGATTGAGTCCATCATGGCAGCATGTGCTTGCTAGAAACAGCTAACAGTGTGGTGGTAATTAAAGGCTGGGAACATGTCTTCTTGAGGTTCCCATCCTGGAGATGGATCATCAAGCCATTTGAAATGTACAGAACTGTGGCTTTACTACTACCCAAGCCACCAGTACTCGCAGATGAAGACTCAAGTATGGACAGATCAAAGGAACTTACTCTGAAAGTTCCAGAGTTATAAGTACACTAATTACTAAATCCATGAGGAAAATACGAACTTTTGCTATAAAACCTAAGAACGTCCTACCTGCAAGCTGGGAATGTGAACATATTCAAGTTGGTATGCTGTTAACATGTGTCTAGTTTCATGTCCAAAGACAGTGTTCAGAAAACACTTTAAATGGATTTCAAATGCTTATTCCGGGCACTGTGTGTTTCTAATTGGTGGGCTCTAGGTCTGCTCCATGGACACAGCTCCAACAGCACTTGGGAAAGCTGCACTTTTACTGAGGACTTGGCACCCACATGTGTTTGGCCCTTCAGCGTGCAAATGTTTCTGTCATGATTCTGTGTAGTCCACAGCTGCCTTCTTCTGGAGAAGGAACTCCCATCTTTGCGGAAGCCTGGCCTCTGCCCAGGCAATGTAAGGCAGGGGGTACCATATAGGATGGTTCTGAAAACTGTTTGCATTTCAACTTTTTAGAGGCAGTTTTCATGTTCTTGCATACCAAATCAATGACGGCAGACTCATCACATATGCTCTTATAAGACAAGGGAAAAAACATTAGATTGGAAATAATCTGAAGTCACGTCTCTACCTCTGACAGAAGACCTGCAGCCCTAGGATAGCCCTAGGAAACGGCTGCAAGCAGAGCTGAAGACCCAAGGGCTGCTCTCCCCCCTCACACCTCTTTTGCTTCATTTCTTAGTCAAATGTCTCACGGTTTTGCCCAGTGAACTTGTGCTGCCTCCAGGTGTGAGTCCCCGCTCTCCTTCCCCTGGCCATGGGGAGTTAAGGATGAGTGGGAACTGAGCTGTGACAAAAATTAAGACTCTTCATCCAGACCTTTTCTAATGTAGAATACTTGCTCCAAGCCTGCAGTAACTTGCCTTGCCCAGCTTTGTCAGAGTCAGGAACTCACTTGCTGGGGCACCTGTCTTTCTGTCCTGGGTGGAATTATTTGCATGGAAGAGCTTTCGCTGACAGAACTGCTGACAGCTGTTTCATACAATGGAGAATCTGTGGTCGCAGGGAGCTGTGTTGACAAGGGCTGCTATGGTGACGGGGACTACAACTCCCCCTCTCCCACCAGGGACACTCTCCCTGACTCTGCCCACAGCTGGAGCACTGTCATTGGACCCTGTGGGATGGCCTCATGAAGCACAGGGGAGGGCAGTGTCCTCCAGACTAGTGGACACTGTGCTGGGTTCTCATCTTGCTTTCCTTACTGTTTGATAAGAAGTCTCTTAATTCTCACAAATTCGTTTCCTATGTCTCCCTAGATTTCTAGGTACCTACAGGTTCTGGAGAAACAGGTCTATGGGAAAGAAGATGTCTCTCTGACAATGGGTGTTGGCAATTCACGCACATTCTCCCCGTGTGGACCCTCCAGTCCCAAATGCATGCAGTGGATTTAGACTCTGGTAAGGCCCCATCTGGGCCCATATCCTCCCTCCATAATCTCTCAGAGCCTTAAACCCAAGTAGGAAACGTCACAGGCAGCCAGACAGCAAAAGGAGGGGTAGGGGGGATGGAAGGGTGAGGGTGGCCGGTGAGACCAACCGGCTTGCTGACCTCTGAATTGAAGCTGCTCTGGCCTCCCGGCCGGACGTTGCCAGCATCCCCATCGGCTCGGCGGTGCAGTTCCCGGGTGGTGCGCAGGCGCAGGTGCTCCCGCTCCTCTGGGCCCAGGCGCCACTCCATCTGATCTCTCAGTTTGGACTGTTAGGTGCATGGGAGGGATTTGGGGTTTTTTTTGTTTAATTTAAATTAAAAACAAAGGACTCAAGGTTGGGGGTGGTGCAGGGAGGGGGAATAAAGAAAACAAAAATGGGTAAGGCAGACAACTAGAAAACTACCAGATGAAGAAAAGCGTGACTAGAAAAAACGACTTAAATGCAGTGGAGTAACAGGATGAAGAGAACAGAACCAAAAGGGGGATGCGCAAAACGATGGGCTGAAAGAACTGTAAAGCAAAGGAAAAGGGGGTGGGTGCAAAACACTGGTGATGAGGCACATGCAACAGGGATGCACAGATAGAAGACTCAACCACAAGCACACTACCCACGAAGGATACGGAAACAAGGCTCCTCCTTCCTTGTTTGTGGTCGAACAGCAAAAGCCATAATCCAGGGCGGCAGCAGGGTCATGCACCCAAGGGCGATGCATAGGAAAGCAGTCCTTAGAAGGCTACTCGGCTCTGCCCTCCCCTCAGGGAGGGCAGCGGGAGCAAGCTGGCAGCGAGATTTTCCATCAAAACCATCCTTCTCTGAGAACTGTGCTCCTCTCCCCCCTTCTGGCTCATCTTCCAGTGGGAGGGGTTGGGAGGGAGGCTGGCTGCCTAGGGCCTTTGAGAACTGTACTCTGTCCCTTTGACAATTAACCCAGGTGGGGATCAAACGCTCCTGAGCGAGTCTGCTAAGTATCCTGACTGTGAAATGAGTTTGTATTTTGTTTTAAAATCCTCCTTGTTTCTTCTTCAGGATAGCTGGTTGTTTGAGACACCAAAAAAAAGGAGAAAGGACGCACTGCATCGATCCCTATCGCTTCCATTGGGATTAGCCTTGCGTCAGGAGGGAGGGTCTCTAAGCCAAGAGTAGCGGTGCATTTAAAATAAGAGAGGAGAAAGGAAAATAAAATAAAAGAGAACTTAAAAAAAAAAGGAAAGGAAAGAATAGAAACCCAACCAATAGAAAGGATTTGGTTGACACTTGAGGCTTTAGTACAATGCAGGTTTGAAATCATAACCAAGCAGCCGTGAGCAGAATGAGTTCGAGTGCAGCAATGCCAGCGAGAAGGAAGAAGAGCAACACGGAGCAGGGAGGCAGAGCCAGGAGCCCCCTTACCTGCAGGTCGGGGACCAGCTCCTTCCCCAGGTTCCCGATGGGGGAGTCCCGGGATACAGAGGTCATGGTGGAGAGGAAGCTGGAGGACTCTGTGAGCTGAGGCAAGGGGGACAGGCCTTCCAGGCGCTCCCGAAGACCATCCCCAATCCGGTTCACCTGTTCCAGGAAGGCCTGAAGCTCTTTCCTGAAAGCCTTCATCCTTGAGTTGATGGTCCCCAGCAGCTGGGATTCACTCTTGCCACCCTCACCCTTCTCCCCTGCCCCCTGGACTCCAGGCCCCAGTGAGGCCTCGCTGCTCCCCTGCGGCCCTGAGCTGTCCCCAAAGCCATTGGTATCTGTGATGAGCCTCTCCACGGTCCGCTCGAGCCTCTCGGCCTCCTGCTTTATGCTCACCAAGTACTCGGAGTCCTCCTTGGCCCTCAAGAGCTCCACTGGACACAGCTCACTTGCCTCCGACGGTTTTCCGCTGCTGAAGCCCGAAGTCTTCTCGAACATCTCCTCCGAGTCACTCTCACCACCTATAGGGCCTTCCCGCTTGGGCTGGGGCGGACGGCCTTCCTCCCCATCGCTCTCCTTCTTCCCCACGTCACTGTCAGCATCGCTGTCCCGGGGACTGGGGGCACGCAGCCCCAGGTGGGCAGCCAGGTCGTAGTGCTGGACGTTGGACAAGAGCACCCGGTTCTCATACTGCAGCTTCAGCACCTTTCCACTCAACTCATTGATCTGCAGCCGGGCCGACTTCAGCTCCTCCTGCAGCGGGGCGCCACTTGTGCCCTTGCCCGTGCCGTCCCCCAGCCACCCCGGCTCTGGCCGTGGTTCAAACTTGAACTTGCTCAGCTCATGGGTCAACTGCCGGTTGTGGTCCTCGATCTCGGATATGGATCTCCGGAGCAGCTCCGCTTCCTCCTCCACAAACTGCAGGTGTCGGCGGAGCTCTGTGGAGGACTCCAGTGAGTCTGCGAAGGGTGAGGTAGGAATGCTTGGGACGTGGTCCCGGCCCGTCCCCTCTCGCTCATACTGGCTCCGCATGTCCTCCATCTCTGCTTTAAGGCCTCTGTTCTCTACCTCCAGTTCCACAATCTTCCGGCCCAAGATGTTGGCTTCTTCCTCTACCAACTTCAGCCGCAACTTAAGTTCGGCCTCCCTGGTGCTGGGTGGCCCACCGGCCTCCCCAGTGGGGAGGGGGCTGTCCACGTCCCCATAGAGGGTCTTGTACTTCTGGAGCTCTTGTTCCAGCTCATCCTTCTCCCTTCCCAACTTGGCCATTTTTTTGCGCATCAGGGAGCCTTCCTCTTTGGCAAACTGAAGCTGGCACTTCAAATCGGCACTGTCATCCTGCCAGGAAAGAACAGCCCGAGAGAAGGGTTATTTGAAAATACCAAATGTTCATGTTTTTTATTTCCCTCACACCTCGCCCCCAACACACACACAAACACAAAACACCGATCTTTCTGTCAGTGCCTCGAGTTACAGGTAGAAGGGGCCAGACAAAGCCAAGGCACGCCTGGGGCCTGCATGGCAGGGACATGGCAGGGGCCTACAGTCTGTTGCTTTGTCACAGAAACAAAAGAAATCACAAAATTAGTTCGGAAAAAACGTGCACATGAAAACCATCATACAAATGATAAGTGAAGAGGGAGTAAATGACTGAAACCCAATACCCAGCAGTGATGTGGACCCATAATACTTGGTGGATCTAGTGTGACTAATCGGCAGCACCAGTGAGAGACAGCAGAGCCTGTTGCTGAAGCCTGGTGCAACTTACTTCTGCCACAGGGCAGGCCTCCCTCATCCAACGTGTTCAGCAATCCAGTCATTACCAGGATCGGGAGGCCAGGTGAGCCCAAATCAGAGTCCAATTTTCCACTGATTTGCTGAGAGCTGGGACATGGCAACTGGCCAGTGCCCCTCCCGATCTCCCCATTCCCCTTGTATCACAAGAATGACATGAGGACAAAAATGAGATGGCAGGCATGAGGGTACTTTGGAGTCAAGTGCTGAGTAAGTAAGAAGCTCTGACGGTTAGTATGATTGGTTACTGCAAACCTAAACACCTGGGTTACTCACAACCTTCGCCATGCAAATGCAACGTCACAGCCTGGGTTATGTTCCATTCCCTTTAGTTGCTGGAACACAGCAGGAAATTAAGCACAAAGTCCAAGGCAAGAAGTGTTTCGAAACCTGAGAAGTGGCTCTTATTGGAATAACACAGGATTCTGGAGGGTCACCCAAGGGGCTCACTGTTGTTAAAAGCCCACATTGCTTGACTAAGGTCAAGAAGGAGCTTTTTGGAGAAAGTCAACTCAGTCTGCCCAGTGCAGGTGTCAGTGTTTGAAGCTGTATGAACTCTGATTTGGTCTTGCACAAATTTGTTTTCTTTTCACATTTAGTGAATGAGAAAAATGACCAGTTTTGTGAATCATCCTTCTTTGATGGCTGACAGAAACTTCAATAGACTGACACGGAGTCAAAGACTTTGGCTAAGGCTTCACAAAGAGAAGTTCAACAAGATGCTCCTTGGTAGTCAAACCCCATCTCTGCAGGGGAGGAGGTGCCATCAAACTAATATCTGGAACCAGCCAACCCTCTGGGAGGGAATAAACTGCCAGACCATCATTTGTAGGGTTGAAGCAGTTTTCACACTTAAAGAAGGTGGCTCAGTCTCTGCCACATTGTAGTCAGAAATTCACCAGTGGGCAAAGGTATAGGACATTGACAGCTCCCAACTTTCCTCATTCACCCTGCACTAGACCCCTCTCCTCGCTCGCCACAAACCCACAGAAGGTAGTAAAAATAAAGACTTAAGGAAAAATCTAAGGTGAGCACTGACAAGCCCTGGTGCTGTGTGTATGTGATCTGAGGAACAACACTCGCTCCTACTGTGTCCTCTCAGCAGGGGATGAGCCCATCCCTTGGGCTGCCCTGGGTCTCACTTGGGCCCCTCTGTCCATAGCACCTTGGACTCATTTCAGAGCCTCAGTGACCTTGTCTCCTTAGGTGTAAAACAGGATTCTTGTTCAGTCACAGGCTGTGGCGGTCAAATGAAAGAATGTCCAGCAAAGTGGTTTGTAAATGGCAAATTACCCTGAAATCAACATTCTTCTTTGCCTGAAATGCAATTAATATTGGAAAAAGGAGACTGTAACTCAGATTTTTACCCCTCTGCACAACAAGAGGGTAATCTATAAATGTCACCAGGAGGAAAGCATGGTCTCTGTGTTCTAAGAACTTATCACATTAAGAATTTGGTTTGTGGTCCTCCCCGGTGATGCAACGGTTGAGCACTAGGCTGCAAAGCTGCCCGCAGCCTCTGCAGCACTCGTTCTGTAACAGGGTGGTCCCCAGGAAAGGGGGAGGTTCCCTGCCCCACCCAAGGGAGGGTGGAGCTGAGCAGGAAGAGGAGAAGCTGCAGAAGAGACTGAGGAAGGAAGCAGGATGGAGCCAGGAGACCTGGAGGAGGCGCATGGAGCCTAGAGACACGTGAAGAAACTGCGCTTGTCTTTTGGTCGTGGACTGGGTGACACAGATGTGGGTGAGACCCATGGGGAGGTGACAATGGCAGCTTTTATCTTGATGTTGATTTTGCTCTTTTCCTTCCGGGTTTGTCTGGTTGTTTCTGACCCTTTTCTGTGGGTCCCCACTGGAAGATGCTTTAGACTTGTGGCAGGCTTTGGGGCCTTGCTCTGGGCCGATCCCATATGGATGGAGTTTTACCCACGAGGGGATGGGTAACTTTGGGTGCTTCATTTAGAAACTAGACTCTTTGCCTTACCTGTATTGTTTCCTAGTTTTATTAAAGTTCTTTCCCATTAAAGTCTCATATGTTTTGTGTTGATGTGGCGGATGGCAGAACCCATTTAGAATAGGCAGGTTTGCGGGGTTTGGGCTGCCCCTCTCCCTGTCCTATTACAGTTCGATCCCGGGCCGCTGGTGAGGGTCCCACATGGCGCGCAGACCTCTCCTGCCGGGCCCGCTGCTCCCCTCAGCAGTGTACTTCATCAGTCTGCCTGTTCTGTACCCTGCTCTGTCTCTGGTGAATTCTCTCACCCTCCCATGCTTCTGACTGTACCCAGTGCTTGTATAAATAAATAAATAAATCCTTAAAAAATAATTTGGTTTGTTTAGGGCTAGGCTGACATAAAAAGAGCTTTGTGATTAACAAGAAATAAGGCCTGTGACACTCCTTGCCAGGGTAATGGTATATTCTTCAAAGGATCCATAGAGAATTCATGGGCTACAAAAGACCTATATTGTACCTAATAATGAAGGAAATGAAGGAAAGGTGTGTTCACTTGTTGATTCATTCTTTCAATAATTATCAAGCACCTACAATCAATATGTACCAAAAATTGGCCTGTTATTTTCATACAACCCAGCTCCTTAGAATTTTCAAAAGTAAAACAATCAAAAGCACCTTTTGTTGTTGTTGTTAACATATATTTGCAAGAAATCCCAACACAAAGGGAGGGTTCTGTGGTTCGCAGTTTAAACACACTGAAGTACACGTGACTGGAGACACTGCCAATATTTCATAAATGGTCCTGTTCGGGAGTGAAAAGCTTGGGACAGGAAGACAGGAGGTGCCCCATGCTGACTTGATAGCCAGTGTTTGTTATTTTTCCCAAATCACCTAAACAATCCTTTCTCCACCTTAAAACACAAAATTCATCTTCGTGCCTGAGGAGGCAGCAGAGATCATGGAAGAGAATGTTGCCAGACTTCGGGAACCCTACCCTCTAGGCACCTCCAGTCTGGAACTCCAGCTGGGGGTGGGGCAAAGGAATAGTATTCCTGCTGTGATGTGTACCCTGTTCCTACTTCCATGGAAACTTTCAAATGGTAAGGCCTTGATAGGGTGGAGTCTGGGGAAGGGCACACAGGGGCAGTTACCTGCACAGTTCAGAAAGCTTTGTCTCCAAAGCAAGAGTCAGGGTCTCAGGTGATCTTTCCTGGGCTTATTCTCCCAAAATGTGAATTTAGAAATCAGGGAAGTGGGTGGGATCTGTCAGAGGCACATGGAACCCTGCTTTTCTTAAGGACTCTGAACCACTCAGTCCTAAGAACTTACCCGTACCCCACTCTACAGGTATAATACCAAAGAGCTCTCAATGGCCTTGATTTCTGGAAACCTTAAACCTGGCACTATGACCACTTCTTCGACCATTCCCCACAAATTTGACTATAAACCAGAACCATTCTCTCCTGGCTTCTTGAATCTAAACCTGGGTCAGTTTAAGAATCAAGAATCTATGACATAGCCTAACAAGGAAACGCCCATTCATAGATTACCTGAGGATCAAGAAAATATCCAAAAAGTCTTCTTGTTCTTCAAGGAAGCTATACCCACACCAGGAATTCTACACACGATTAAGCATGCTGTCATTTCTACTCAACGCCCATGCACTACTATGCCTGCCACCAAGAGAGAGCAGTTTTGAAAAGACAATCTTTGAAGCCAAGGGATTGTGTGTATTCGATGAAGGGGCCAGACTTCCTAGCTCTGGGGGAGGCATCTAGAGCCCCATGGGTAGAGTGGGGGAGTCTCAGGGATGTTGGCTCAGCCTGTTTCCGGGACAAAAAGCCCCTCGTAATAAGATAGGGAATCCCAGCCTCAGCTAGAGCAGCAGAAGATTGGATATCCATCTTATCTTTTAATTGTAGACTTTCTACAACTCTGCCAAGACTCCAGGGGAGGGGTCTCAGCCAAACCCTAAGCTGAAGGATATCGAGCTCTGGTTTCAAGAGATCATCAGATAGCTCCAGGAATGCAGTATGAAAGCAGGTCAAGTCAAACTACACTTGAAACGACCCCTGTTGCAGGCAGAGAAGGCAAGCATGCCATGGAAGGGAGGACACACACAGGACTGTCAGTCAGCACCACCACCAGCTGGAAAGGCCTTGTCAAGCAACAAAAATATATCACTATGGGTATATATTCTTTAGCTTGCAAGTCTGACGTCTAGCCAGCACCCCAAGCGCTGACTACTTTGTGTTCCTACCTTCCGCCGGGGTGCCAGTTTCCTTTGAGTTTTGGTTGTAGACCTGCAGTTCCCAAGGCGCTCCGTTCCACCACTCTGCTGAACAGAAACTCCTTTCTCAATGACACCACAGGCTGGAGGGCAGCTACCCGTTCACGATGCCCCACGTGTCTCACACCCTCCTGAGGGGCAGCTGCTCCTGTCCTCAGCCTGATCTGCCCACAAGCTGTGCATTCTGTATTGGGGCAGCAGCAACCCTTTTAGGAAAAAGTCTTCCCTGGTTAAGAGCCAGTAACTGGAAACATACTTGAAGCTCAGGAGAGTCGAAGCCCCCAATGCAGGGGACAATAGATTTCAATTTCCCTGTTATCAGCACGTGCCAACTTGAGCTCAGGCAAGGAGGGTGGAAGAGAAATGTAAATCATTGACATTTCTGCTGTCATGCGGCCTGGTGCTCTGTGAAGGATAGTCTGGGGACCAGTGAATTTGGAGATCTAAGAAACCACAGGGAAGCAAACCACAGGGGCAGGCCAGCCCTGAGGTCTCAGTGTGCTTAGTTACCCAAGTTAAAGCATTTCTCTAATTACAACGTGTTCTGATAGCTCAGGGAGCTGATACCCCAATGATGTCTTTGTTCTTTCCAACACCTAATACTAGCAGCAAGTTAAAAAAGAAGAAGATGAAGACAGGAACCCAGTACAGCAACTGTTCAGAAACACGTAGGCAGTTCTGAAGAACGCATACCATGTTCATAGAAAGGGCTAGGCTTTCACCACCTTTTGGTGAGACTATTTCACTGTCTGTTGGGACAATTTAACATAGAGTTCAGCTTGCACATTAAAAAAAACACCAACACTTAAAACGATACCTTATGAATGACCAGCACCATAGCAGCTGTACTATTTTACTGTGTGAATGACTTCGAAGGCCCAGTTTTTAATCAGTTATGAATACTGCCAGAGACTTAAACTATAGCTAATTATATTTTACACAAAGTCAGTTTATTCTTCTCTTTCTTGAAGAAATCAGCAGTTTATCAGAGTGAGACACTAAAGGGAGGAGCTGCTGGTATGGAAGAAAATTTTTCACCCCATGGAGGTTTTGAATGAGTCCAAACTTTTTAGCAGATAATGTTTCTTGGAGTACTTCCAAGGCAATGCTAATTTTTTGAGAAAATTCAAAATGAGATGACTGGTGCTTTAGGAAATGGAACATTAGTATGAAACTTCTGCTTACCTGGTTAAAGGTTTTCTTTTCTTTGTACATTTCCCGACTGCCTCTTCTTTTCAGGGAACTCTGAAATAGATCCAAGTTACATTCAGTTACAGGGGGTCACATGTGGGGGCAGGCATGGGCAGACGCCCTTCCCCCATAAGTTGGGGGCACACACAGCGAGTGGAGGCTCTTTTCCACTGTAAGCAGGATACCACCCAAGAGCCGACTTTTAAATGCAGTTGAATAAGCTTGGTGAGGTCTTCAAATCCTAAGAGGTTTTAAATCCTGATTATTGAATTATATAATAATATGTAATTCCTCAATCATAGTTTAATGAAAAAGAAGAGTGGTTTAGATAATTTGTAACATGGCAGGAAGATAAAAAGAGAAGAAAGGTAGGAAGTTTTAGAAATAAATATGACATTTCTGGGGTTGATTTACCTCCCTAATTATGCTTTGCTTAGGTTAATATCAAAATTAACTGATGTTTTCTGAGTGCCTATGGGTATATGGAAATGGCCAGTTGAAAAAGTGGTAGGAAAGGAGAGGATAGCTCTTTTTTTTTTTTTTTTTTTTTTTTTTTTTTTAAGAGGCATGTTTTTATTTATTTATTTGTTTGTTTGTTTGTTCGTTTACACATGCACTGGGTATAGTCAGAAGCGTGGGAGGTGAGAGAATTCACCAGAGTCAGAGCGGGGAGCAGAGCAGGCAGAAGGACCGAAGTACACTGCTGAGGGGAGCAGCGGGCGGCAGGAGAGGTCTGCGCGCCATGTGGGACCCTCCTCCTGTGGCCGGGGAGCAGCCAGGGATCGAACCGGCGTCGCAGAGGCTGCGGGCAGCTTCGCAACCCAGCGCTCAACCGCTGCGCCACCAGGGAGGCCCAGGATAGCTCTTTTTATAGAAGAAATATAATCTAGGGCCTCCCAGGTGGCACAACTATTGAGCACTGGGTTGCGAAGCTGCCCGCAGTCTCTGCAGCGCCCGTTTGATCCCTGGCCACCGGGCGAGGGTCCCACATGGCGGCAGACCTCTCCTGCTGCCCGCTGCTCCCCTCAGCAGTGTACTTCCTCAGTCTGCCTGTTCTGCTCCCCGCTCTGGCTCTGGTGAATTCTCTCACCCTCCCGCGCTTCTGACTGTACCCAGTGCTTGCATAAATAAATAAATCTTTAAAAAAACAAAAACAAAACAAAACAAAGAAATATAATCTAGGTTGCAAAGTTCTTCATGAGCAGGCCACTCTATCCCGTGATTCACCCTACATATTAAAAGCTTTATACATTTCATAATTTATTCATATGTGAAGGAACCCTGGCTATGTTCTTCAAGGAAATGGGTCCCTGCTTAGTTTTACGTGCATTACAAGTGCACCTCTTCCTGCTACAGGCAAGACATGTGTCAAGAGTATGAAGAGAATAGCCAAGGGATGTCTGAGGTTCCTGCTAAAGTATGAAGATAGAAAAAAATGACTGGAAAAAGAGTGAGGAGCATCCAGGGGAAGGTTAAGGTAATCCTGAGACAGGTTGGAAGAAAGCAGTTTGGAAAGTGCAGCTTTGCTGCTTTCCTACCGACCTTGACAAGCCTGTGAGAGGAAAGGGATTCTCTGGGCTATTGCCACCCAACCTACTTCCTCTCGGCAGCTGGGTTCAGATTTGCAGCCTGAAGCTCATCTTGAAGTGGCTCTTCATTCCTTTGCTGCTATTCCCCCATCAAGACAGCTCTGAAGGGGCTCTCATGCAAGTCACTTACATCACAGCTAGACCTTACACTAGTTAATTCAGTCCTGTTTGCATAGTGAGTGTCTCACCTGGACCACTAGGCCAAGACATTTATAGGAAGAATTTCAGGGCTAAGAAACAATCTAAATTTTTGTTGTCCCTTAGCCTCAAGGATGCTGGAGGCCTGTGAAAAAAGGGGTAATTGGGAGGAGGGGTGAGAGAGTATGGACTCAGCAAGGGGTGCAGAAGCTTCACTCCGAACCCACCTGCAGAATGGCTTTATTTCCTTTAGCCTTTCTCATAAAAGCATGATCCAAACAAAAACAAAACAAAACAAAACAACAAAAACAAAACAACAAAACAAAAAAAAAAAAACCAAAACAAGTTTCTTCTAAGAGGTTACATTAAGCCTGTCTTATAAAGGTTCTGGTTTTTATACCCATAATAAATAGGTTTTCCAGGAGTCTCCACAATGCAGTGAAGGAGGGATTCTTTGTTTTGAATGAGCTGAGTAAGGTGAATAGGGCTTTAATAGGGACCACGTCAGCATTCAAAGCACAAGGTGAGTCTAAACCAACCCACGCATCACATTCTTCCAGTGAAGGGAAAACAGACTCTACATGTGCTGAAAAAAAGCCATTTAGAAGTGAGAGGGAAGCTAGAAGTGGAGACAGAAGTTTCTGAAAGTCTATGCAGAATCACACTGCTGCTGTATTTCTGGTGCTGCAGAAGGCGGGAGGAGCAGATTATGGGTGTGCCTCCTGCTGGGGTGGGGGCTGGGGCAGATAGGAACCTGTGCACAGATTCCTGCTACCCTGACCTGCTGCTGGGTCTCTTTCCCTTGCAGAGTTCTGCCTCTGAGGCTGTGGATGGATTCACAGAAGAGGCAGGGAGTTGTGGGACCAGGTCCCCCCAACACTCACACAGAGCTCCCAGTCACTGTAGCAATTATAGTGAAAAACATTGCAAGGATTAAAGTTAACCAGAAATTTGCAGGACCTGTGAAAGAAATCACAAAACTTTGGTGATGTTGTAAGACATGTTGTGAATATGTCACAAAGCTCCCAAATCATTTTATAAGTACGATGTTATCTGAACCAAATTCCTTCCCACCCCACTTTCTCTCCCTGCTATAACACACACACACACACACACACACACACACATTTTGTGTATCTGTAAGGGTGGTAAGATAACTTGACAAGATGATTGGAAAATGCATCTAGAACAGGGCTTGGCAAACCATTGCCTTGGAACAATTCAACCCACAGCCTATCTTGTAAACAAGTTTTATCTGAAGTGCAGCCCTGTTTACTTGTTTATGGTCTGTGACTGATCTGCAGCACCAGAGCAGAGGTGAGCAGTAGTGACAAACCATATGGCCTGCAGAGCCTAAATATTTACTATCTGGTTCTTTTCATCTGATCTAGAAAAATGAAGTGCTAAAAAGACCCAAGAACAATTTAAAAAGGAGGAATAAATTGATGCAAAATACAATATAATGGAAACAAACAGAAAGCTCAGAAATAGACTCAAGAGTATATGAAATTTTAAAATTGGTAGTATTTTAAAACAGTGAGGGGAAATGGATTATTTGATATATATTGGGGGGAAACTGGCTAACACGGGAAAATATACTGTGATCCATACCATGTATCAGAAAAAAAAAAATCCAGATGAATCAAACATTTAGAAGCAAGAAATCATAAAAGAACTAGAAAGGTGGAGATGAATTTCTATTTAATATTGGGCCATGCATGGCCTTTATAAATAAAAAGGCAAAAGCAGAAACAATCAAGGCAGATTGACAGAGTGAATCAATGAGATCTTTAACTTTTTATATATTGAAAGAAACAACATGATCAAAAGTCAAATGGCAAAGTAAAAGGTTTTTCTAGCACAGAACAGACAAAAGAATAATATTTTGCAAACAACAGAAAAACTACCTTAATGACAAAGTAAATACATGATTAGCAGTAATTAAAACAATTAAGCAATTAAAACAAGGTATCATTTTTTAACTAAGAGCATTACAGGCCAAAAGAAGTATGACACTATGAGGGGGCTTGCACACAGACCAGTGAGTGGGGGGCAGCCAGCATTTCAGGCTAAGATTCTAGCTAAGATACCCTAAGGGAATACGCAGAGCTCTGTGCCAAGATTTATGGGTAAAAATGCTTATTACTGTGGAGATAATAACAATTTAAGAACACTAAAAGATTCAGGATATACAGTACATTAAAAGGAAAATGCAGATTACAAACAGCATGTATTTTGTGATTTTGATCTAGTATAAATACGTATGTAAATTATATGCAAAAAAGAGAAAAGTGATTGGCAAATATATATCAAAATGTTAATAATGACCATCTTCATGTGATAGAATAATGGGTGACCTTAATTCTCTTTACTGTGGCTTTTCATGAGTTTCAAATTCTCTACAGTGAATGCTGTTTTATTTGCAATAAAAAAAACTTAAAATTTTCACCTTATATAGGTCAGAGAAAGGAAGCTATCACTAATCTCTATGTAGCATTACGGTGGCACATCATTAGATGTTATTCACCAATTTCTTGGGTCTATTTCCATAATTTAGTATTGCTATTATTATTTTTTTAAAGATTTATTTATTTATTTATATAAACACTGGGTACAGTCAGAAGTGCGGGAGGGTGAAAGTGAATTCACCAGAGCCAGAGCAGGGAGCAGAACAGACAGACCGACAAAACACGCAGCTGAGGGGAGCAGCAGGTGCGGCAGGAGAGGTCTGCACGCCATGTGGGACCCTCACCATGGCCGGGGATAAAACCAGCCTTGCAGAGGCTGTGGGCAGCCTCTCAGCCCAGCGCTCAATCGCTGTGCCACCGGGGAGGCCCAGTGTTGCTATTATTAATTGCTCTTATTAACCTGCTTCTAGAAGTATAACTATAACTATATATGTACATACACACACAGAGAGAGAGAGAGCGAGAGAGAAAGAGAGAGAGTGCGTGCACATGCAATAGAGAGTTTATTAAAAAGACCAGGAAGCCCCTGAGGGTGGGGGAACCAGCCAGTACCCCTATGCACTGTGGTCCCTGGCACAAAGCTCCCTTGTTAAGGGCCAGCAGTCCAGGACTCCAGCCACAGTCTCCTCCCTGGTTCACTTGTTGAGTCTCAGAAGGGCTGGGTGCTTTGGGCATATTGGTTAAGGGACCCTGAGTGTAGGATGGTTTGCGTAAGCATTATTCATGGCCAGTTTATTCCTCCACGTGACTCAGAGATCCAGTTTAGAGTCTTGTCCAAGAAACAATTAATGAAAAGGGGAAAATGTAGACTATCAAATAACAGAACCCAGAGTTGGGATCTTGCCTGCTAATTAAATCC